AGTGAGTTGGGCCTCGAATTACTTGAGTCAAGCCCATGGCTGTCATGGAAGCCATGAACTCCTGCGCTCCATCAGAGTGTTGTTTTATTGGAACACTGGAAACAGAAGAGCAGCTGGCAATGGCACATGTGCCCACAGAGAGGGCTCTGCATGCCATCTCTGGCACATGTGCCATAAGTTTGCCATCATGGACCTAGGGAAAGAAACAGATCTTCAGTACCCATTTTAAAAACAGTAGGGTAGGGCTAGGACTAGCAAACTTCCAGGGTGATATTATTGGAAAGCATAGGCTCTGCAATGGAGGGGGATTGCCTTCTAGGTCACATCAGATAATTTAATAATGGAACCTGGGACTTGTTTCCCCATTGGACAAACAATGAGAGATAGGTGGTCCATCAGATAGTCCACCCCTTTACCATGAAGGGCTTCCTAGGTCACAACCAGCATCTTGACTTGTATCCAAAAATCATTGCAACTTTCACAACAGAGGTATTACATGGAAGAACGGAGATAAACCCATAACTGCTTGAGTTGCACCATTCTGGACCAAAAATAGCCTTTAGATAGTACACTGCAGTATAGTCAGAATACACATTGAAATAATACTTAAATACAATGTTAAAATAATACTAAATAAACATACATTTATATGCGAAAAGGTCAATGGTATAAATCTCCCTACATTAATTTAGATAATGTGTTATAGTTGTATGAAGATTGCCATATTCTCTAGAAAGTTCTTGAATTTTGAAGTATTTTCTGACAGTTGAATAAGATTGTTATGATGTGAAAATTGCATAGCATTCATTGTTCAATAGCATTCTACTGTACACATAAAACATCACTACTCATCTGGAAAGATATGTATGTATGTATGTATGTACGTACGTACGTACGTACGTACAAAATATGCAGATTGGATCAATGCTTTTGAGTGTTTAATTGTTTACATATATCTTCCCAGTGCGAGCAAATAAAGATGTGCCCCTCGATCCTGATGATCAGAAGGTAGATAATGGATCGTTCGATTACAGGTATGATTCTCACTCAAGGCATTTGCTATCTGCTTGCCATTCCAAGTAACTCCTTTCTCATTTCATTTTCATGAATTTACATTTTACTCCTCTTTATCCTTCCAGTGTTACTTAAACTCTCTACCAAAAGAAGCACCAATCTATGCATTTAAAAAATATAAAAATGAAATCAGCATTTTTAAAGTTCATTCATTGAAGGCTATGAGTGAAAGATATGTAGGCATACATCTAAACACATGGATACACATAGAGACATATCTCTGCACATCAGAACCATCCTCATGAAGGATGGAATTCCTCTAGACTGAGTCATCCAAACATACATGAAACATAATCTTTCATTGTCTGATGCAATAGTGTAGTTCCAATAATTTTGTATCGTCTGATTTATCTATACAAGTAGATCAGTTTCAATTCCTTTTGAAATCTGAAAGAATAACACAGTGTTCTTCATGAGAATTTAATCATTTTTGAATGTTGAATGATGAGCTCTCTTGAGTGGGGATCATTATATCAGATAAGAAAGGTAGGCACTGTGGGAGAGCTAGCAATTTCCAGAATTGTCTTTGGTCTAGTGCAAAAACAAGACACGAGAAAAAAACATATGCTTCCTCCTGTTAGTGCACCCCCATAAATGGGAAGAATAAACAGTGAATAAGTTATTTCTTAGGAAGAATAAGCCTACATTTCTAAAAAATCAACAAGAAGCTTCATATTTCTGATTTACTGAAAGATATGTTGATAGCCTCTATGAACCTACTAAATTTTTCTGACAATTACAGTGTTATAACATCCAACACCATCACTACTTCATGTAAATCAAGGGCATCTTTTTAAGGACCACCATCACTACTTCATGTAAATCAAAGGCATCTTTTTAAGGACCACAGCCACTTTTTCTCTTGATTTTTCAAAGCAAAAGTGTGTTCTTTGGCTGTTCACAGATGGGTCCTGCATTCAAGGTTTACATTTGTTTCACCTTTACTTCCAAGGAACTGAAACAGGTAACACTGCTACCCCTTGCTAAATTAACCGTATGTTGTGAGCCTGTGTAACTTGGCGCTTCAGTCCCTTGCTTGCTATTAAAACAAACAAGCAAACAAAAAGAAATGTCCAGCTATTCTAAAACTGTAGGATGATTTATTCAAAACACAATTGCTCTCCTTCCAAATTCAGTACTTTTATTTTACAGCTAACATGAATAAAAGTGATAAAAAGGCTTAATTAAAATTGTAGTGCAAGGTCTGATGTTATGCATATAAGAGCCATGGTTGCACAGTGGTTAGAATGCAGTACTGCAGGCTAACTCACTGCTTACTCCAGGAGTTTGATTCTGACCTGCTCAAGGTTGACTTAGCCTTCCATTCTTCCAAGGTCAGCAAAATGAGGACCCAGATTGTTGGGGGCAATAGGATGACTCTACAAACCACTTAGAGCAGGGTGTAAAGCACTGTGAAATGGTATAAAAGTCTAAGTGCTATTGCTATATGAAGCTGTTTGGAGGATTGACTATAGGACTTTGAAAAAAAGAGCAATGTGTAAATCTTGTAGCGCCAAATCACATTAATTAAACTGCTTGGTTAATTTGATAGCAGAGGTGGGTTCCTACCAGTTCATACAGGTTCAGCAGAACCAGCAGAAACCCAGCCTGGCCACACCCCCGAACCGGTTCCCTGGTCGCCATCACCTCCACCATCTCTTTTGGGAGTTCTGCATATGCGCAGAACAATTTCCATTGAACTGCGCATGCACGCACAGTGCATATCCAGTGCAAACTGACAGTAACGCCGGCTAGAACCCACCCCTGTTTGATAGCTATGTGTTTTTAAGCATCAGAGTTGCTCTAATAATAGCCATTCCAAACTTGTTCCCTTCCAGAGTTGTTTTTAAACATTGAGGTCACAATTCAAAAAAAAATTAATTATGATTCAGAATTCTTCAAGCTACTCAAAGCAAAATAAAAAGTAACTTGGGTTCATTTAGTAGATTGAATAAATGAGTTTCTTGGGAAATACCATATACCATTTATGAATTATCAAGACCGAAGTATACTCAAGTATTTTTAGTTACCTTGAAAAACACTATCTTGACTCTTGAGATGTGAACAAATGAAAGTTGCAAAGATAATGTATATTATTGCAAAGAACACATTAGGATGAAGAGTGGGTAAAGATACCACTTATCAAAAATGCTGACCCTGAGACGAATCCTCATTTTTGCAGACGTATTTAGCACAGTTTCATGCTCCTCAATCTCAATTGCTGATAGGAAATCTTTGTAGTTATGATTTGCTTGTTTTTTAATTGTTTTATTTTTAATATTTATTAGGATGTTTTTAACTCTTTATATCATGCAAATCACCAACAGCTGATTGGGTTACAACATGATATTAATGGAATCATTAAGTAAAATTTCTACATTAATATGAAGAGCACCTATTGTTTTCTCTTTTTTTTACTGTGGGGAAAAAAGCCTAGAGCTGAATATGGTTGTGTTATTCTGCTGATGAAAACATATTATTAAAACCTACATTTTCCCTATACATATCCCAAATCTACTACAGGGCAGTCGAAGGATTCCTAGTATTAGAATTGCACGGGACAAAATATGAGAGTAAAGGAAGGTTCCATTTCACCAGCAGAAGTGCTCTCACTTAACAATCTCCTTTGGAAAACATAGTTAAACCTGCAAGCAATGTTATCTCGCTTCTTTTTTTAAAAAAAAAAGTATGATTGAAGCATTCTTGAAAAAAATGCATGTGGATAAAGTAGAACATTATAGTTCCAAAAGTGCTTTGTCAAGAGGCAATTGGACTTCCTTGTTTTTTCTTTGAAGATGTTTTGCTTCTTATCCAAGAAGCTTCTTCAGCTCTGACTGGATGGTGTGGAATGGAAGGATTTATATACCTTGAAGACAGCTGGTAATTTACATTCTTTTTAGAGAGTCATTTGAGGCCACTTGGATTTTTGTCTGTGCACATCTCCACAACATCTCCACAAGTCTTTCAGCAGTTCTAAAGAGGCTCCACACTCATTTGCACTACTCAGATAATCCTGAGCTCACAGACAAAAATGCAAATGGCCTCAATGACTCTCTAAAACAGGGATGTCAAATTCATGGCGTCACAAGATGTATCTCAACTTTTTTTCCCCTAAACCAGGCATGCGCATGGCAAGTGCATGACGCATATGGCCTGCGGGCCAGGAGTTTGACACCCCTGATCTATCTGATCATTTACAAAGAATGTAAATGACCAGCTGTCTGCAAGGAATATAAATCCTTCCACTCAACACCAATCAGTCAGAGTTGAAGAAGCTTCTTGGATGAGAAGCAAAATGTCTTCAAAGAAAAAACAAGGAAGTTCAGTTGCCTCTTGAAAAATCACTTTTGGGACAACCATGACCTGGATGACTGAGAATCTTCATAGACATTTAGAACATTGGAGCTTCATTTTATATCAGAATAAATCTTGGGTCACTGACATTGAACCAATTCCCAACATCTAGAACTTCCTGTGTTGACTGATTACTAAAGTATTCTTATGATTGTTTTTGTTTGTCCTGATTATTAGGAAACTATCTTTAACAGTAAAATCTGGGCTGAGTTGAATATTCATCTATAGCAGTGAACTGGCTGAATCATTTTATTTTAGTTTTTTATTTGTGCAAGAGACAAAAGCTATGATTTAAAATATTACACTTTCTTCCACTGGAGCCCTAGAAAGAAGGCTTTTTGTTATTTTTTTCCACACAAACCATGGCTGCACAACTTAATGCAGGATGTTAAAGAACTGACGAATCACATAAGAAGTCAGAATAAAAGAGAAAATGATTAGCTGACAGAGAAATGTGTCTAATTAAGATTCATAGTCATTGAGATGTGACAGATAGCTTTTGAAAGTGAACAGGATATAAACTGGCATGTTTTCTTTATTTGTTCTCTTCCTAATTCACTGAAATATGCCTGACACACTCTGATCATGTCCTTCAGAGCTGTAAAAGCTTATGCATAGAGCATGCCAATGGCCACGGGCTATAATTAAGAGATATACTGTCATTTCTTTCTACTCTGCTGCCAGACTTATAGTCTCCTTACAAGAGGAATAAGCTATAAAGTCTTTAGCCATTAATAGCATTCATTCTACTAAACATCTGACTTGAGAAAGAGAGAGAGAGAGAGAGAGTAAAGGGAAGAGAACAACTAAAACCTTATACCGATTGTATTTTTTCAATCTTCCTTCTCCCTTTACTCCATGTTTTAATACACTCTATCTCTACCAGGCTCCAAATCAGTTTAATCCTGGAATTTTCAGTTTCAGTGCCAATTTCAAGACACAGAAAATAGGAGGATTACTTTCTACAAGGCCTGGTGATTGTGAAACCAGAACTTTAGCAATGCTTGTTAAAAGCCAGAAGACTTATTTTCACCCAATCTCTTTTGTTCCTTGAATGTTGGCAAGTGATTTCATATGAACTCACATAGTACTTCTGCACTCGAGTGATTTTTGTGACTACTTTCTGGCACCTACAGATTTTCTGAAGATGGAAATATTCTGATAAGATCTGCTGCTTAATTTTCAGGGCTCTTCCTCCTCATAATGTCAATCAATCCTGTTTTCTTCAAAGGAGGATGGAGAGTCTGTCTAGAGCAGTGTTTCTCAACCTTGGCAACTTGAAGATGTCTGGACTTCAACTTCCAGAATTCCCCATCCAGCAAATGCTTCTAGACCTCAATGAAAATGTTCTAAGAAACAACTAATGTGCTTTTTTCCTGTTTCCCACTATTTCAATATGAACAAATTTTTATGTAAATATACAAAAAAGGGGATTTCTCCTCTAGATCTATGATATCTACTTCTCCCCTCATCTAAAACTCCGTGTATGAAACTCCAGCCCATAATTCTTTTTCCTCCTCCTTCCTCTTTGGAGCATTTTCATCTAAGGCTGAGATCTTTCCTGGAGACGTATTTTTTTGCAAGACCATGCTTTAAATTTTTATATCTCTGAAAGAGTGTGACTGCTTAAACCCTTCAGACATATAGTGGCTTGTTTAGTTGGACTAAATCTCTAAAATGAGACCATGTCTGGAGTGGCAATGAGAGCTTGCCACCATGGCTCAGCTTTGAGGGTGACTACCTGGGAAGGGAGGGAGGAGTATCATTGCATTTATCAACAAGTAGTTGCTTTTTATGTCATTGCACACAATTAGCTGTTTGTGTTTTAAATTGGGTTTCATTTGGTACTTTAAGATGCTTAGCCCTTCCAGAAAGTAATAACTATTACTATTGCAATTATTTATTTGGCGTTGATCCCTAAACTTCAAGCCTATATTATTTTGCTCTCTGATCAGGCTCTTTTTGCTTCTCTCCTTGTTTTATATTCATCTGTTCTTGTACTTTTCACCTTATCCTTCTACATGGACCATGAAGGTCTCTTGAAAGGTAGGAATGACCCAAACCCTTGCACACATTTTCTTTCAGCACTTCTAAGCATATCTAATCTCTTAACTTCCTTCCATGTTTCCGTTCCAACACTTTTCATCTAACAGAGTTAAAAAGAAATTTGTTTCTTATTCTGAGATTCAGGTGTCCTGTGTCCATAGAGTTGCATTCTGACTGTAGATTCAGACCCAATACCATGTCCAATGACATTGCAGTGGCCCTAGCTTCATTCCTTTTTCTTGACTAATATTTATATGTGCAATGTGAAACTGCACAATTGAATAGTGATTACTGTCATGAAAAAGGGTCTACTGGGTTAGAGGCTTTTGAGTAGTTCCATATTATCTGGTAAGCTACTGGTATGATATGGCCCTCATATTTTAAAAACAATTATAACTGATTTCACTTACTGGGCGCTAAAACGAAAGAAGCGTGGTCAAGAAGAAGCCAATAGTTTCAGAAGTTCAGATTGAAGATCTTTCACTCAAAAATTATTCCTTCTAATGTAATGCAACTCTTGAACATGATGCTCCTAAACTAATTTCACTTGAGGCTTGGTTGACTATATTTAATATATTAAATAAACTGCAAGATTTATCTAATAAGCACATTGTATTTGTGCGTTAAAGGCTGAATTTAGTTATTTTCCTAATGTATTAACAAGGCAATATGGTTACTTGTTTGGCTTGCAATCCAAAGAGCCATGTGCAGAACATCAGAGTATTTGCGGCATTTCAAACAACATTTCTTACATCTGCTTTTCAATAGCAGTCCTGTAAAAAAAGAACAGGACGACTTTATGGGAGAAGACCAAAACAAAAAACACTTCATACAGCATACATTGCTGTGTGGTTCTCTGGAATCCAGCCTTTGGGGTATCAAAATAGGAAATCCCTTGAAAACTTTACTGCCATTAAATATGGAAGGGGCAAATTTTCATTGCAATTACATTTTATTAAAATACTTATTTTAACTTGAAAACAAATATCTCTAGCATCTGTGGCTTTTGCTGTTCTTGTCTTTATGTCTTCTTATAATGCTAACCCATTCTGCCTCAAAGCTCTTCTTGCCTCAGGTTCAATTACTTGCCCAAACCCTGATAATGAAATTAACTTGTGCCATTACAAGCATGTTAATTCCCATTTGCGAAATATGAGATTTACAGTTTTCTAAGATATTCAGAAGCAGCATGTATGCACTTTTCAACATGGGCTCCTTCCAGAAAGGAAATAAATTCCTCTTCTCATTGCAATAAAGAATGTTGTACCTGGGACTGCAAATAACCTAGAATGATCATTTGTTGGGAATTCAGACCAGATCAGAGCTTGTAAGATGCAACTTTCAACATTATAGAAAGGATCTATTGGACATAATATGATGAGAAAATGCAATGAAATGGCAATACTGGAAACCAAAGTCATTTGGGATATTAGTATACCTATTAATATTTGCACAACTTGCAAACAATTAAAAGAATACATCTCACATGAATATCCAGTAAAGCCTTTCAGCACTTCAGACTTAAAGACAAAAAGTGTTACAGAGTGCAGGGGTGCTGGTCATGCCTCTGGAAGAGAGAAATTCCATGGATATGGCATCAGTCTGCAACTCTGAAAGTAACCATATCTTTTCCTGAGATTGTGTGGTGCCTGCAGAGGACAGCTATACTACCCTGAGGAAAATGTAGCTGCTTTAAAGTGTTGCAGAGAAGTGCTGTTCACACTTCTGTATACTTTAAAGTGTATTTTGGCAATCAAATCCAAACTTCACTGTCCTCCGGACTCATAACTATCAACAAGACTTAGTCCTATGAGACTCTTTCATCTTTTTTTAAAAAGAAACTCAAAATAGTTAACCCATCTTACAAATTTTGCAGAAGCTTTCTCGAGGTGGCAAAGAGAAATGTTATTATATGTCAAATAAAGGTAAACATTCCCTTAAGTTGGGCTTGCTTGCTATATATGATCGTCATTTGTCTTTGCCATTTTTTTTCAGGTTTCCAATTTAGCCCCTATAGATCTGAGCTTTTCTGGTAGTGTCCCGGTGTACAATTAATAAGATTTGATTTAAGACGTTGCTTTTTTTTCCTTCTTGTTTTTTAAAATCAGACCTGCATCATTTTTTTAAAAAATTGCTTTCATATGAAATGGCCAAAATAAATCTTTAAAAAGAATTTTGTCCTCTTTAGATCTGCTGAAAGACTTTCATTTAAATTGTCAGTGGGTGCACTTTGGACAAAGTGTATCTTTGATGAAATGGGATTTATATAAACTAGAAGGCTCAGAACTGTGATATATTATTCTCCAATTTGGCTTGCTAATTTTTGCTTTTGATTCTTCAGGATTACTTTCCTTATCATAACACTGAGGGACTTCCTTCTCCTAATTTATATAGGTTCTTTGAGAAATGTTACTTTTTGCCCCTAATTTTTCCAGGCATCTGTATTTACAAAGATGTCACCATATTTTCCTAGATTGTTGCCTTTTTGTGTATCATCACTCGGACGCTGCTTTCAAATTCTAATATTATGCTTTCCTTTTAAACCATATTTTCTCATTTCTGATTCTCTCCTTTTCCTTTTAATGCCAGTGATGAAGACAACAAGCCACTGCAAGGCAGTCAGACCTCCTTAGATGGCACAATAAAACAACAAGAAAGTGATGACAGCTTGGTGGACTATGGAGAAGGAGGTGAAGGACAGTTCAATGAAGATGGTTCCTTTATTGGCCAGTACACAGTTAAGAAGGACAAAGATGAGACAGAAGGCAATGAGAGCTCAGAAGCCACATCACCAGTAAATGCTATCTATTCCCTGGCATAACACTATATATTGAAGCAACAGCAGCTAAATAAAGAAATAAGTTGGTATGGGTCAGCAGAGTCACCATCAACAAGAGAAAGCAATCAGGGTAGGGCAACAAAGGCCAAACACACAAACCCGACCAGTGCCATCATCTCTTTAGCAAACAGCATAGATGCACTGAATGCTGAAGTGATCATACTGCAGCTGAAATCTGAGCTAACTCACCAGAGACCAGCTGAAGAGCAGAATGCAGAGATTCTGTGCCCCAGGCTTCAGAACTTGGACTGAAATAAACATCCCTCTATACCCCCTTTGTCTGATTTGTGAGATAATGCAATTTCCTTCATTAATAATGTATACAACTGACTTGGGGAAGGGGATCCCTTTTTTTAAGGATTTGATGTTGTCCTCAGAAAAAGAAATGTCTGAACATGGGGGGGGAAACTCGAGTAGGGAGTGATGATTTAAAAAAAGCTGAGCACATTATGGCACGCCCCTTGCTAAAACAGCATGAAACCACATTGCAGAATCAGTTATTGGTTTAAATGATGAACTGTTTTATAAACAGGAACTTTTCTGAACATTTACTTCTATTGGAGATCATTGTAGACAGGCCCTAGCCTATGCTTTTCACTAAGCAAGGTATATGCTGCTTTTTCCTATGAGATAAAATGGTTCCATAATAGGCTTCAGTGTGGAGGCTATCAAATGGGAAAGGCAGGATTGGTTGCATTGATTGAAGATCTCACTTTTAGCTCTGTATTTCAATTTCTGCTTCCCATAGAAACCACAATATGAAGTTGTGCTCTACCCATGCTATCAAAGAGTTTAGTTGAAAAGTTGTATCTCTGTCAAAAAAAGAAAAACAAGAATAGGAAAACAGGATTGGATTGCTGTTTTTCAAAAGAGAATTATTGGAGGAAATTTGTTGTTAATTTTTATTAAAAACAGCCATTCCTCACAATGCGTATACATGGTATTAATTACCATCTCCAAATCCTGCATGTAACAGGAAAGGGAACAAAGGTAACCAGAGAAGATCAGCCAGTCTGGGCTTTCCTACTGCTAATTAAAAGAGGAAAGCAGCCCCCTACTAAAAAAAAAAACAACAACAACCAAAGTAACCTGCAAGTCTATGAAAAATTCTGGGATTTCCTGGATGTATATGTTTGATGCAAAAGTACATATGCACATAGAATAAATCCCAAATGAATCCATCTGTCTCTACTTTGAATTTGCAAGGTGAAATAGTCTCTGATACATGTTGGGACATCTTTTTGCTCCTGCCCCTTCTGTCAGCCTAAAGGCACTCTTTCCATTGCTAAATAAGCAGCAGCATGGAACTCACATTCTATTAGTTGCACATCAAAGACACTCAAGTCGAGCTAATTTCCTAACCTGCAATAACCCTGTTTTCCCCAGATGCAGATTCTATTGTGACATTATTCTTCCATATATGCCTTAAACAGCTTCATGCGTTCCCTGAAGCTTAATAAACTATGAATATTTATCTATAGATTAAGCCCTTTGTGTGATGGTCTGTAATCTGTCCATGCATTTTAAACAAGACTATTACAGCTTGGCAGAATAAGAAAGTATCATGGATAGCAGTAGAAGTTAGAGATTTACAATATACTGTGTTTAGCAAAATCTAGTACGTCTTCTCTTTATGCCCTACATTTTTCAAACCAAAGGTATTTAAAAGAAGCAATTTGGCTCCTACTAACAGTTGCATAGCTGTAAAATAACATTTAGGATAATTTTGAAGATCTGCCTAGTTATCATGCTCAAATGTAAACACAAATATGGGTGTATGTTTCAGCTGATTTACTGTAGAAGGAGTTTTGCTAACAAGCATAAATCTCAAGAAGCCACCAATTTAGCATACTTCATAAAATACTGCCATATTTTTAAAAAAATTAAAATCAACTAAATGAAAATTTTAATGCAGCCAGTCTGTATCGTCTAATGAAAAGGCAACAAAATGAAGTCTTTTTTGGTGCATTAAGTTAGGCTCTTACCCTTCAAAAATGGCATAGAATAGTGCTAATTCCAAACACTGAATTGACTACGCCTCCTTGAAAAGACAGGCTATATGATATACAGGTAGACCTCAACTTACAACCACAATTGAGCCCAACATTTCTGTTGTTAAGTGAGACATTTGTTAAGTGAGTTCTGCCCTATTTTACAACCTTTCTTGCCATAGTTGTAAAGTGAATCACTATAGTTGATAAATTAGTAAGCCAGTTGTTAAGTGAATCTAGTTTCCCCAATGGTTTTGTAAGAAGGTTGCAAAAGGTGATCACATGATCTTGGGACACAGCAATGGTCATAAACTAGTTGCCAAGCATCTGAATTTTGATCACATGATCAGGAGGATGCTGCCAATGTCATAACTGTGAAAAATGATAATATTATTCAGTACTGTTGTAACTTTCACTAAACAAATGGTTGTAAGTACAGGTTACATGGTTGTAACCTTTACTTAGTGAATGGTAGACAGAACTGGTTCCCAGTTAATGTTTGTGTCTTTGCTTTTGTTTGCCTTAGAGTCAGTGTTGACTCCTGGAGGCAACCTGGACAAAGTTCTGCAGTCTTCTGGGCAAGATTTTGGAAGTGGTTTAGTAGCCTTTTTCCTAGGGCTGAGAGAGGGTGACCTGCCCAAAGTCACAGCTGACTTTGTGCCTAAGGCAGGACTCCCAGTTTCTAGCATGGTACCTTAAACCACTTCACCAACTGGCTGTCTTTGTATCTATAGCTTCATAGTAAATGTGATTTTATTCTTTCCAACTCATTAGAAAATGATGGAAAGAAATTGTTTAAGGAAGTTTAGGATGCTGCCAGCCTGTCCATCTAGATCTACCTGTCCAAATACATAATTTCCTGAAAAACAGAACAGAACTTGACTAAATTTAATGCTGGATTGAGAGGGAGAATGAAGGTATCAAAATAAATTACAGTTCAAAAATTGTCTGGATCTGGATTGGTTGCTTTGAAGAAATCCTCCATGGCAGAGACAGGTGGCCAGTGGCTTGGAGTGTTGATGACCCCCTTCTAACTCTCTTTTCTTGTTCTGTCCCAGTTACTTCATCAAGAACAGAGCTAGTATTAAGAGGTGGAGGGAAATTTCATAAATCATGCTCTTTCTGCTCTCCCTAACTATTATATAGGATTAAAGAAAACTTCTGATCTTCGTGGGTTCAGTGTTGAACTTGTTGCTTCATGAAACATAGGAAGCAAATCAGATTTACTATAGTAGCAATAATTCTCCAGGGTTTCAAAAAGAAGCTTTTCACAGTTCTACCTAAATCTATCAGGGATTTTTTTTTATCATTTGCATGAAAAGTATGTGTTCTACCACTGACAGGATACTGAAACATTCACAGTGTCAAAATGTTTGACATATCCTATATAAATTTAAATGTTCACTTTCAGTAGAAAGTGATAAATGTTAAACTATGCACATATTGTTTTTAACCCTGTCCACAATTGTCAGTAATCCTATGTATAGAGACTCTGCGGATTTAAAGGAATATTCTATTTTACAGAATCAGCTTATTTGAGGCTCAACAGATAACAAGAGAATTCCAGATACACTTAATCACATCTATGGGGAACATCTGTCCATAAGATATGAATGAATGAATATGTGTGTGTGTGCGTGTGCGTGTGTGTGTGCATCCTCTTTGGAAGCCCATATATTTGAAGAAAACCATATGTGGTTAACTTTCCATGGCTCTAGAGCAAAGTTCCCCAATGTTTCCATCTTTGTGGACGAGTTGGGAGAGGGGATGGTTCTGCATGGCTGTTGGGCAAACACATGCCCATGCAGACTCCATTTGTGTACATGGAGGGCATACGGGCATGCTTGTCCACTGCTCATGCCAAGTGGGAATGTGTGTGTGAACATGCACTCACTTATTGCTTTTGCAGCCTGGTTTTGAACACTTCATGGTCCTGTAGTGGGCTGAGGGCTGGGAGTTGAGGACCTCTGCTCTATAGATGTTGAGGAAGGTCTATTTAAAAAAATACTAAAAGATCTACAGTACATTCTTCAGAATCCCATTTTCAGATATATTAAAACAGTTTGTACATATAACAGTATTAGTAAAACTTTTGTCTGCTTACTAGGAAAGGAAATTGCCTTCAATGGAAAATGTGTTATTCTCAGTAGAATAACCTTAGGAACAGAGATGTCTTTAAAAATAGGGGTTAGGTCCCGCAATTAAAGTTCTATGTGGTCCATTAAAAACAAAAACCAAGGACTCTCGATAGGATTTTATTATAGGAGACGGTGCACTTGCAACACTTCAGATATTTTCCAACAATAGGAATGTTTTACAATAAATACATCTAAACCCACTATGAAAAAAAAACATAAATGAAAATATTAGGAGAGCTTTGAGAGGTCATGTAAATGGAACTAGTATGTCCTAATTTGGAAAGATCAATGACATTTTACCTTCTTACTACCTGGTTAATATTAAAGGCTTTTTATAGGTTTGGGTTCAAGTGTTGAATTGCAAGTAAGTACCCTTCAGTGATTATGCAATCAATTTGGAAGTTTTCTAAATCAAAAAGAACAATTATAGGATTTAGACATTTTTTAAATCTCATCTGAATCCTGTAACACTCTAAGGAGCCTCTACTATTACAATTGATAGTAATCTAGTCTGCAACTTACTAATAATTTTGGTGGCAGAAAATTGTTCTATGAAAAATCCTTTATATGTACATGTACCCCAACCACCTCCAAAATTGGTGTGATCACAGATACAGCAGAAAATACATTCATGAAATATTAAGCCTATGGATCGTGATGCTAGGTAAAATTCTGGGTAAAATTTTATATCTATGATACCATGTTGTGGAGGATGGATAATTTTCTCCATAGGACCATCAAAATGAATTTTATTACTAAATTTTTCTGGTCATTTAAATTTAAGGGTTTTGGCCAGCCTGAGCACTGAACCAGACAAGAAGGCAATCACTGTTAGACCACACAATTGTGCCTCTTATCTATTGTTTGCTGTCCATCTGTAAAGGCTCCTGATGTTCTGTTGCTTTGAGAAGAAGCAATGAAAATGTTTTCCAAAGTCCACCGAATCAATATAGCATGAAACAGGTGTAGATCTTTGCCCACCTCTTCTCTGACCATAGATCTGTACCAAGGGTGGCATTTGGCAGTGATATTCAAATTTGCTTAATTTTCTCTTTATGACTTAAGTTCTAAAATGATATTATTGCTCTTCTGCACATTTTACAGTTTGGGGTAAGTTCAATTTTTAGCATGACATCTGACATTGCTGATATTTTAAAATAACATTTCTCAAGCTAATGCCATTCACCTGTGCTGGACTGCAGTTCCCATCAACTATAGTGATATTCAGAGATTATTATCTGAGCAGTATAATCAACCGTATGACTAAGCCAGAGGGAACGAAAATGTTATTGTGCTTTGTTCATTTTGAGTTAGAAAAGAAATGAACCTGTTTCCCCTCATTTAATGTGCCCCGTAGGTTAAAATTGATACATTTTCTTTACAGATATGGATGATTGGATATTCACAGTCACTGAACCTTGGCACAACTAATGCCGAGATAAAACCAACAGAAAAAAATGGCCTAGAGTCTTCCTAACATTTAATTCCTCCAACTCAAGTTCAGTCCTATGGAAGTGTCCCACAGCTCCACTAGAATAGTAGAGCCTGACCTCACCTTATCAATCTCTCTTCAGTAACCTGAATCCATGCCCCAATTACCTCTCAGAACTATATCCAAGGGAGATGCTATACAATATTGATTTCCATTAGGGCTCAGCCTCTTGTTTGTATCTTGTACCTGACTCCCATGACCTGCTGTGGTCTTTCTTCCCATTCCTGCTGTAGCTGCAGGTACACGCTTATGCTCACTTCCTGGCATGCAGAGAATTGGAAGGATTGTAGAAACCTGATTCATGACTTTGACCTATAAAGGAAGCAAGGTTTGCACCAAGTTTAATTCTTGACTTGCTGTCAAGCTAAAAAATCTTTAGCTCAGCAATAATTATCAGCATAGTAATAAAACTTGAAGTGTGTTTCCACTCTAATTCATTGTAGCTCATCTAAAGGGGTATTTTTTTTTTCCTGGTGCTAGAAAATCCAGGATGTTTTTTGACTCTTCATTTAACATAGATATGGCCATCTCTTATTATGCTTTGTGATGTCAAAAGTTACTTTTAGATCCTTGGCACTGAACTTAGAGACTCAGAGAACTTCCTTTGTACTTCAAAAGTTTACTTGTTGAACCTGGTTTGGATTAGGTTGTCACTTATTAATGAGAATATAGTCATGCTTATGCCCTTTCCATAATAATGTCCGAATCCTGATTCTCATCATTCTTACATATTTGGTTTTTTTTGGGGGTGGGGGTGTTTAAGTGTTTATCCCCTTACCAGATGAATATATAACTATGGCTGCAAAAAATGATTTACAGTGATTATTTTCCAAATTCTGAAGACATGTTTAATGTTCAGATTGCATGAACAATATGGAAAAGACCTGGGCATAAATAAATGTTTTTAAATACTGTAAAAAGAATATTTTTCTTTGTTTTACATAGGAAGCACTAATTGTAATAAAGAATTATTTAAAAGATAGGCTGAGCATGACATTGATTTTTCTCCTACACAAAAGAGGAAAAATGGGCCCATAGTTAAGATGGTAGGTGGAACTTAGAAGGATTAGACTAATTCCTTTCCCTTTTCTCCTGTCACTAATGCTTTTAATAATGCTATTGAGAAGCAGGCTAATGCTTTCATTGCTGACAGTTGCCAAGGAGGCTTTTTTAAAAAAAAAAAAAGACTAGGGAAACATCTGCCAAAGGTGGTTTTAAGGATATTAAATGCAAAGTGGAGAAATGAAATGATTGAACCAGATTAGATTGCCACTTAGACACTTTTTTTAATAATTACACTTCACCCATTCCCCTAAACAGTATTGCTTCATTTTTGAAAATGCTGAAACAAACAGGGCTAAGCATCCCAAACTGGATGGATGAAGAACTTGTACTATTAGCTTTCTTGTAATGATATATGTTTGCATCATCAATGCAGTATGTTCTGGTTTCTAATGATTTGTAATGTAACGATTTATTTGAGCATCTGGTTTGCTAAGGATG